CAAAAAAGTAATTTGGAAGATTTTGAAACTCTTAGGCTTGAATCCGATGCGAATTTGGTGTTGTGATGTTGTTTTGAGCGTTCCGAAGGTTGGAACAAGTTTGAATGATGTTATGGGATATGTTGGCATATTTAGTTGAGGTCCCAGTGGCCTCAGGTGAGTTTTGGGTGGTTAAACGGACTATTTCATCTTTAGAAAAATTGCAGATTTTTTTTAGCTTCAGATGTGCACCAGAAATTTCTGGTGCGAGGAGTCCAGTTTGGAAGCTCATATCTTGCAATCTATAAGGAATCAGAAAAATTGAAAAACAAGAAAGTTGTAGCCCTTTCATTCTAGTTTCCAGAAAGTTAAACCATTTATGATTTGGATATTCTATCAGAAAGTTATGATGGATCGAAGCATGGCTGATTGGAGCAATATTTGGACAGAATTTTCTGATGCACTTTAGAAGCTCATATCTCGGAATATATAAAGAGTTATATGGTGTACAACCTATCAAATGAAAGATCTTCGAGTGTAGTTTCTAAATCTTCAAAAACCGTTTGTCATTTGGGATATTTTCTACAAGGGATTATGGGCGTTTTTAACAGAAGGTGTAGCAGCAGGAGAAAATAGTAAGAGGATGTACAACCTGCACAGGAAGCAGGTACAACTCGATGAAGCCAGGGCAGATTGTTTTAAACACGAGTTTTACCATTTCTTTCATTCCTTTCATTTGGCTTGGACGATTTTGGAGAGCTCAAGGAGGGATTTTCACCAAGCAACATAGATTCGACGCGCGTGGAGGCCGATTTGAGGGGCAAAGGCGTTGCGAGCTAGAGATTTCGCCGGTTCGAGGTGAGTAATGATTGTAAATGATATTCTGAGGGTTTGAAACCCCGTATTTGCACATCGTAGTGCTATATTGAGGTGACTTGCACGCTGGATAGCGAGCGTGGGGTAGAGCACCGTTGGGGATTGTGACTTGGTCCGTCCCGATTGATGAATTTACTGCGTATTTGACTGAAATTTACTTGTTATCATCATAATTTGGGCTGATTGCCATATTTGGGCTTCGTCCAGCTATTTAAACCCTTCGGGGATTGTTGTTGATATTTCCTCACTGTTTTGAGTTTATACTTGAACTCAGTCATGTATTTTCCACTGTTTTTAAGACTCAGCCAAGTTTATTTTGCTTTAACACTTGAAATGATATTTCCAATAATATTTTGGGCTGAGCATCATGTTTTACTGTTGCCCGAGTGGCTTGTGTGATCTTTGACTGGGTAAGGCCGAGGGCCTGTATTGTGAGGATACTTTTGGATCGGGCTGCACGCCGCAACAGTGTTATACTGATATTGATATGAGGCCGAGGGCCTAGATTGATGCCGCGAGATGGCTTGTTATTGCGCGTGGTCCATAAGGGGCCCCTCCCGGAGTCTGTACACCCCCAATGAGCGCCGTCGACGATAAATATGGATCGGGCTGCACGCCGCAGCGATATATGGATCGGGCTGCACGCCGCAGCGGTACTGGTACTGTTCTATGTGTTTACTTTATTTCATTTGTCTGCCATTATCTGTTGTTTGTGCTACTTCGTGATATCTACCGGATTGCCTGACATCATCTGTTAATCGAGTGTGGTGCCCGAGGGGCAGACTTCTATGCTTATCTGCAATATTTGTTTTGCAATAATTTGCATGACTGTTGAAAAAGTCATTTTCAAAAGAGGTTTTTTAAACTGAGCTAAGATATTTTCTAAAGATTTCACAGCTTCACTACTTCTCTCAAAGGTTTTTACACTGCTTCTATACAGCATGATGATTTTCTTTACGTGATTTTTTACTACTCAGTTGTTATTTACCCTTATTACTCACTGAGTTGGAGTACTCACTTTACTCCCTGCACCTCGTGTGCAGATGCAGGTATTTGTTCACCCGGTAGCGGGTTTTGGGCTGGTCGAAGGCTAAGTTATCGAAGTTTAGCGAGGTGACTGCCAACGTTCGCAGCACCGCATTTCTCCCTTTTGTATATTAGTCTTATTTGAAATATTTTTCAGGCCTTGTAGTTGTAGTTATACTCTAATAGATGCTCGTGACTTGTGACACCCTAGTTTGGGCTGTGTTTGGGTTGTATTCCGCACTTAATAAAGAAATATCTGTTTAGACTGTGGTTATTTAATTATGTTAAAACTGTGCACCAATATTTAAATATTCTGAAAAGGCGAAATGGGATGGTTGTCTAGCCTTGTCTTCACGAGAGACGCCATCACGACCGTATCGGGGTTTGGGTCGTGACACTAAGTTTTTGACCAGTTAGACCATATGTGCCTAGCACACATTCGATGCTCACAATTTAGTAGTAGCTCTTGAATGCTTGGTACCAATCCCTACAAAACAGCAATGAATCAAACCGAATCCCAAAAAGTTGAGATGAAGTAGAAATTTAAAACAAAAAGTAGAGATGAGTTAGAACGCTAAACAAAAAGTTGAGATGAACTAGAAAGTTAAAACAAAAAGTAGAGATGAAGTAGAACTTTAAAACAGAAAGTAGAGATGAAGTAAAATACCTTTTGCATATCAGACATAACTATTAATCCAGCTCCATCTCCTAACTCCAAATCAGATATTAACTTGTTTATAAACCAACTCCAATATACTTTTGACTCATTGTCTATCACAGCCCATACAATGGGATACATTTGTTGATTCCTATTTTTCCTAATAGCTACCAACAATTCACCCTTACATGCTTCCTTTAGAAAACACCCATCAACTCCAATAATCTTCCTGCATCCTTCCAACTAACCTTTCTTCAATGCATCAAAGCAGACATAGAAATGTTTAAACAGATTCTTTCCAGGCTCTGAATTTCTGTCAGTTTTGACCAAGCAAGTGCTACTAGGATTGGTTTGTGTAATAATATCATTATAGTCACATAATCTAACAAACTCCATCTTCCAATCCCCCATAAACTTCCTAAGAACTATCTGTTTTGCCCTGTAATAGATGGTTCTACCAACATATAAACTAATTTGTCTCTAACAAATTCTTGTATTTCTTAGATCCTAATATATGGCTGAGAAGTGATCCTACCTCTGAATTTGCTAGCAATATATTTAGAATTACAAAGCTTGTTATTGTTCATTGGAGTGCACTTGTGAATAAGATGATACTTCTTAACTATAAAATTCCTAGAATCCCAGTCAAGACTTGCAAATAACTCCCACTGGCAAATCTTATATTTACATTGCACCCTCACCCTAGTTGGCTCATTAGGTTTGAGTTTCAATTGTGCATGATATTCAATAGCATAGTGAGTCATTGCCTTCCTAAATTGATTGACATTCTCAAATATTATGCCAAGTTCAAAAATAGCCACAATACAATCTGGATCATATCTTAACTTTGTACTCTTCTTTCTACTTGGCAAATCAACACCAATTTCAGCTTCCACTTCTAGCTCATCATTAGGATCATAACTATCAGCATAGTCCTCATCCCCCCTAATTTACCAGCATATTTGTTTGCCTTGTTCTTGCCAATATCTTCAAAACCTCTATCTATATTTCCTTCTTCTAGAGGCACTTCTACATGAACAATTGGTTTTTTCCTTCTTCTAGCCTTTAGGTTTGTTCTCTTTTCATTCCTGACAGCTATCAACTCCTCATCAGAATCACTATCATCTTCTTCTAGTACAACATCAAAATCCGAGTCACTACTACTCTCTAGATCTGAAATAGCACCATCAAGATCTATAACATCACCTTCTACGACCTCTTCCCTCCCCACACCACTTAAATCAGCAGAAGCATCTTTCCTAACAGCCTCCTCCCTCCTCACGCCATTTAAATCAGCATCAACATATTCCCTTACTTTAGTTTCAGCAGCAACATCTTCCCTCACTCCAGTTTCAGCAGCAACATCTTCCCTCACTTCAGTTTCAGCAGCAACATCTTCCCTCTTTTCTATGTTTGTTTCCCCAGATGTACCATTCACTTCCGTTACACCTATTTCTGGACCACCAATAAGTCCAGTAGGTGCCACATCATCCACTAACTCAGGGTCTAGAACAATATGCTGAATATACAAATGTATCCCATCTACATTTTCTAGGTTACACACAATATTAAATAAGAGTGCATCACTATCCACATAAACAAAATTCTTATTTTTTGGGTCTTGGTAATAGAAGCCACCCACTGTAGCATATCTCATTTTTTAGTGTAATATAATAGTTCCAGTATTAATAAGTGATCTCTGTCAATATTAGCTATTAACACCTCTTGTTCCCCCATATATTTCGAGTTATGGTCGGGTAAAATTACCACTATGGTAAAAATTAACAGCAATAAAGTCTGACATCACTATTTGTAATATTCCCAAATTTCTTTTAGAAAAACCCTAATTGTGGTCCCAAATCAGTCACAACTCGCACAGAAGTGCACCACTAAAATGACTATAATACAAAACACTAAAAAGACTTTCCCTTTCAGCACTTCAATGATGAGTATCAAGTGACACTTCAACATTTCAGCACCTCTTCCCGTGATATGGTTCTTCAAGCGCAGAAGGTAAATCGAACAAATATCAACCTATAACATTGATTACCACTGAATATCGAACGAAAACGAAGCAGAATCAATGGACATGCATCGCTTTGGACGGATTTTACTGGAATCGAATTTGGGACTTGGGATTTTTTTTGGTCGTTTGTCTTTAAGAATGTGTAAAAACGAGAGGGTTATTAGGAAGAGGGTAATCATATTTGGTTTTATCCGGCAAAGAAGTCTATGTGGCATTATAAAAAACGTGGAAATTTTTTATTGGTTACATTATCCATGCCTGCAGCGCCTAATAACACGCGTGAATTTTTTTTATAAGCATTGGTTAGACGTGTTAAAATGGTGCAGTAAAAATATAGTAAAAGTGTTCCGGTGAAAATTTCTGTATAATTATAGTGTCTGTCTATGTGGCTAAAATTTAAATAACATACGATAGAATACTAACACAATAAAGTGAAACAGGAAAGAGATCATAAATAGCAAAACAGAAATTTTTCAGTGTGACTTATGGTTTGTTCTTTTTACTTTTCTTCTTCCGAGTTCAAAACGCAGAGGTGCCCGTCTGTATAGCGAAAGTAGAGGAGAAATGGCTGCCGAAGTTGCTGACGAGACTTCAACATTCTTCGTTGCCGTACACGTCGGCGCCGGATATCACGCGCCGTCGAATGAGAAAGCTCTTCGTTCAGTCATGAAACGGGCATGCCTCGCCGCTGATTCTGTTCTCCGAAAGGTTCCTCTTCTCTCCCCACCCCTAAGAACAACAACCCTTCTCCCGAAAATTAGTAGTATTCATGAAAATTCAATTGGGTTTTTGCTATTCAGGGTCCAGGTGGATGTATAGACGCTGTAACGGCCGCGATTCAAGTCTTAGAGGTACGTTTTTTTTAAAATGCTTAATGAATGGAGTTAAGTTATATACGTGATTTTTCTTACACTAGCAATGAATTTTAACCTGTGATAGAAGGTAAGTTACCATTCTAATCAGATTACCAGTTCTGCTTATTAAGAGATATACAATAAATGACCCGGTTGTATAAATATTTAATGCTCTGTCAATGCACTGAATTTAAACTCTGAATGGAATGGGTAGGCATAGCAGAATAGATGTAGAAGATTCTTCTAGTAGAATGCAACTAGTTTGGGTTTAAGATGTAGGTAGATTGACTTCATAAACAAATATGTAGGTACAACAACAATAACAACATACCCAGTATTATCCCACACTCTGGAGTCTGGGGAGGGTAGTGTGTGCGCAGACCTTACCCCTACCTTGTGAGGATAGAGGGGCTGTTTCCAATAGACCCTCGGCTCAGGAAAGCAAGATTGATGAAATTTGAGTATATATTTTTTGATAACCCAAATGTTACCTTCTTGAAAACTTGGTGGGAGCAATTCCTCCATAAATTTTGAAATCTTTGAAAATAGTTTGGTGTTTTAGGGGTCTAAGGATAAGTTATCATTCAAAAGATGATCAGTAGAATGCAAAAAGTTTGTATCTTTACGTGAGATGAGTCCACTGTCCACTGTGTTCAAATTATGTCGACTTTGTTTTGTAAAGTCATGGAGTTTTGGTTTTTCAGCTATGAAGAAATAAATTTTCGTTCAAAAGATGATCAGCAAAATGCAAAAAGGTAGCATTTTTGCGTGCTATATACCTGAGTTACAGTGTCTGGACGTTGATTATAAAGTCAGCGTAACTCACTTGTCACTTGAGATTTCCTGGAGGATTAGATGCCTATTCAGTGGGCTATTGAAACATATTGAGTGATCAACTTTGTTTTTAGTGTTTAACTTTGGAATGTTTTAGCCTTTGTAGGATTGGTATAATTTTGACGTTTAATGGAGGGAACAAAAGAGTACTTGTAACTTCAATGTTTACTGAAAACATGATGCCGTTGTTATATTCCTTACAGGATGATCCTAACACAAATGCTGGTCGAGGTTCAAATTTGACTGAAGATGGTCATGTTGAGTGTGATGCCAGCATCATGGATGGTGATTCTGGCACATTTGGTGCTGTAGGTGCAGTGCCAGGTATTCTTAGAGCAGATGCATGCACTTTTTGCTCGAACAAATCATCCATTGACTACTTCTTTTTGGGGTTTACTTGTTATTTTAACCTTTCGTATTCATACCCCTAGTTCATTGTTGCTTCTGTTTTGGTTTACTCTTGCTTTATCTTCTGTGAAGTTAATGTTACCAGGTGTGAGAAATTCCATTCAGATTGCAGCTTTGTTGGTCAAGGAACAGATGTCTGGTTCACCACTTCTGGGACGAATATCTCCAATGTATGATTACTGGTGATATATAGATATGTTTTTTTCTCTAACAGTAATTTAAAAGAAGATCAATTAGCTTACTCCGTCCATCACATCTTATGTGACGAGATTTGGCTAGAAACGAAGTTTAACGAACAAAGAAGAACATATGCACAAGCTAAATATATGCAAAGTACCAAAATTGTTCTTAAAGCCAACAAGTAAATGTGAGGTGGTGAGAGTTTCGCATATCCTTTATTTTGATGAAGTAATAGAGTTTCATTAAAGGCATCAAGAAGATGCAAACAAATATTACTAAAGGGTAAGAAGTGACTGCTCAGATACACAGATTAATCTATAACTAAAGAGCAGACACCTTCCAAAAGTTGTTCACAGCTAGATACAGGGGCTTGGTCAAGCCAGCTAAATAAATCCACTAAACACTTAGCTTTAGTTCCACATGTCCTTTATTATTTCTCTCTCCTAATAAAAATGTGAATTTTTTATCAAGTGGGACTCAACAGGTCATGTCATTAAGAGTTAAAGACTAGAAGGAAAAGTGCGCCACATAAAATGGGACCAGAGTGAGTATCTTTTTCTATTTGGCACAGTTCCGTCCCAGAAAGATTTGCACCTCTTTGAATATGTACATTCTCATTTTATCCTTTAGTGAGATGCTCTTGTAAGTGACAAAATTTGTTGTGGGCTCTTGGAAAAGTGTGACATGATTTCTTAAGCTCCGTGTCCCGTCAAATGGCGCCAAACAAATTTTGAGTGAAGCTTTTATTTTTTGATTGATCTCCTTGCATTTTGCTTTTAACTGTTTTTTCGTCCTACTGTCATTTTCTGATGTAGCTTTTCTCCCTCCCCACCTCATCCTCCAGCCCTCAAAAATTGCCTTTCTTATTCAGGTTTTTGGTTGGTGAAGGTGCTCGTACATGGGCAATGTCCAGGGGCATTGTTTCTCCATCAACTGTGTCAGAGGCTGAAGAGGTAGTATTTTCTTGTTTCATGATAGGTTTTTATTTGCTGTAACCATTCATAAACACCATTTCTATGCTTGTAGTTAATTGAATTCGTGCTACTTCCCGCTAATTTGGAAAATGACATGAACATTTTTGTCTGATATGAAACCTGGAGAACGCTTAAATTGAATCAAAATCGTGAAAATGCTGGCAGTTTGTTTCGGATTTCATTTCAGGTAGTTTGCAAAACTTTTGCTACTTCTGTGTAGCTTCTTGTGTGTGTCTTTTGAGTGTTGACCTTTTGCTTGCATCTACTATCGCCATATATTGTGCCTCATTCCCATGTCAACACCTAATAATTTGTCTCTTCTTAGTTCTTCCTTCCCTACTTCCGTTTGTTCGTATAATTCGCTGAGCCCTCTCCTTCTTCCTGGTTAAGTATCCATAGATGCAACAACCGCCCTTTTTTCCTTTTGGCCTAGAGATAGATGTATTGCGAGGCAAAAACTGGTATATACATGCTGTTTGCTGATGTTTCTCTGAACTAAGGGCATCAATGATGGTTATTTAACAGCATTGGAGGTCTATATTTAGTTAGAAGGGTGGTCTCTGTCCATTTTAAACTAGCTGGATAGGTCCTTGTTGTTAACTCTAAACGTAAACTTGACAATCTTCTGTTCAGAAAAGTTAAATTTGCTCTAAATATGGAATGTGGAATAATGTAGCTTGTTTTGTGGAGACAGTGGCTTGTGACTGAGAGGGCCAGAACCCAATGGAAAAGGTACAAAGGGATGCTTGATGACGCCAAGGATGTTAATGATGCTTCTGCCACTAAGATGGCACACCCTAAGGATTCTGGTACAGTATCAGGTATTTCACCACAGTCCATGCCCTTTTCAATTTATAAGCTGTTAAATACATAATTATGTAACAATTTAAGCTTTTAGATAATGTGGTCACACATTTTCAAAATGAGGCCACAATATTCTCTGATTTCTTTACAATCATTGGTTATCATGCTGCAAGGAAGACTAATAAATGATTCCGTTAGTTACACACCCCCCCTCCCCATCCACCCCAAAAAAAGGAAGGAAATCTTAATAATTTGTATGGTTAGAATCTTTGCATGCATAATGTTGCATATTCTAGTATAAGAAGTCTTACATCAATATACACTTTGTAGGCTGTGACAGAGGTTGTCCATTGCATCATTTACTGTCAGATTAGGAGAATATTTGTTACAGTTGTACAACAGCATTAGGGAAGATATATTTCTGTAAATAGCTGAGATATTTTTTCCATATTTATCATAGGAAGATCAGATCTAGGGGTGTGCATTCGATTTATCGATTCGATTTTGACCCTTATCGATAATTACTTATCGATTATCGATTTGTACATATGCTTATCGTTATCGTTTCAATAAGGTTTCGATTTTTTCGATTTCGATTTATCGATTTTGGGGGCTTATCGATTCGATTATCGATTACACCAATAAGAAAATTTGCGGAATTCCACGGAAATTATATCGCTATAAACGCGCCTAACTAATATGGACAAAAAGAAGCTAAAATAAGATGAACACCATTTATAATATAAAAATTGTGTCAACAAGCACATGCAACAAAACTAAAGTAAGGGATCAAATGTATGCCACCAACACTCCAACGGTATAAAAAAAACAAAACAAAACAAAACACATCATCACGGCTAATTCTGTTTTCCATTAATTTGAACTTCATTCCCTTGATCTTTAAATATGATCATTCCTTAAATGTGGTAGAGGAAATAATAGGGTAAGGGATTTAGGGTAAAGCAAAGGGTATAGATTAGGAAAAATAATATTGTATAGCCGCTTTCAAAATAGTAGCGGAATATATATACATTATGTATGTTATATTAATCTACACAAATAGGTAATTACTCATTTAACAAGTGTCTACAGTCTAGGGGTGTGCATTTGATTTATCGATTCGATTTTGACCCTTATCGATAATTACTTATCGATTATCGATTTGTACATATGCTTATCGTTATCGTTTCAATAAGGTTTCGATTTTTTCGATTTCGATTTCGATAACAAATAATCGATTCGATTTATCGATAAACCGATTTGAATGCACACCACTAGTGATGTGTCTGAGTACGGCTAAGCCCTAAGGAGATATGGGAAGCAATCCAACAAACCTACTCAAAGGTAAATGATGCAGCCCGAGTCTATGAACTTAAGACGAAGGTTACAGCCATGAAGCAAGGGGCACGATCAGTCACTGAATATGCCAATCTCTTGCAAGGACTGTGGCAAGAGATTGATCACTACCAATGCATTCAGATGCGATGCCCAGAAGATGCAGTAACCTTGAAGCGCTTTATAGAAAGGGAACGCACATATGACTTCCTTGCTGGACTTAATGTTGAACTTGATCCGGTATGGGTACAAATATTGGGAAAAGAGGAACTTCCATCACTGGATGAAGCAGTCTCAATAGTACGGGCTGAAGAAGGGCATAAGAGTGTTATGCTTGACACTCAAGCCAGAGAAGGATCAGCACTTGTTGCAAAGGGGGCTGGGCAGAAGGAGAATAGCATGTTACAGCCATCGGACAATTCTACCCAGCCAACAAATGCTTCAAAACTATTCAATAGAGATTCCCTCTATTGCATCTACTGTAAGAAGCATCGCCACACAAGAGAGAGATGCTGGAAGCTGAACGGCAAACCACAGAACAATAACCATAGGGGCGAGAATGGGAGACAGGCTTATGTTGCAAGCACTCACCAAAATGACTTAGATAATTCTGCTAAGTCAAATCCGGAGATCAGTCAAGAAGATATTGAAAGGCTGAAAGGTTTGCTTAGTTCTTTAGACAAAAGTAATCCAGCCGAGACAGGTACATGTTCTCTATCATTCTCAGGTATCTCCTCTTTGTTGTACTGCTAATGTCATGACAAGTAGTTCCTTCCCCTGGATAGTTGATTCTGGAGCAACAGACCACATGACCTCTTTCTTCTAGATACTTTTCGTCCTATACCCCTTGCCTAAGCCATAGAAAAATCACCATTGTTGATGGTTCTTTCGCTACTGTAGCCGGATATGGAGACGTTCGCTTAAATTCTCTATGCCTTAAAAATGTGCTTCATGTTCCAAAATTGTTTGCTAATCTTATTTCAATTCAAAAGGTTACTCAAGATTTTAATTGCCGAGTAATTTTTCTCCCTTCTTATTGTATTTTCCAGGAACAGGAAACCAAGAAGATGATTGGGCTTGCTACAGTCAGAAACGGGCTCTATTACTTGGAAAACCTGAACCTAAAGAATGAAGCTTCGAATTCTCTCCCTCGCTCCTTCATATCTGAGTCAGTCATGTCTAGTGAAGAAAGAATTTGGCTTTATCATCGTCGTTTGGGTCATCCTTCTTTTCAAATTGTCAAGATTATGTTCCCTTTATTGTTTAAGGGTTTAACAGTAGAGTCTTTTCATTGCAATGATTGTGAACTAGCCAAACATAGGCGTGTTTCTTTTTCTGTCAGTAATAAAAGAAGTATGTTTCCGTTTGATCTCATTCATAGTGACATTTGGGGGCCATCTACAGTTTCAAATATTTCCGGTGCTAAATGGTTTGTATCTTTTATTGATGATTGCACTCGGGTAACATGGGTTTATTTATTGAAAAACAAATCCGATGTGAGCTATGTCTTCCCCAATTTTGCCAACATGATCAAGACCCAATTTAACACCCCAATCAAAAGATTTCGTTCAGACAATGCCCGAGACTACTTTAACCAAATGATGTCCTCATTCTTCAAAAATGAGGGTATCATCCATGAGTTGTCTTGTGTCTAACACACCCCAACAAAATGGGTGGCTGAACGAAAAATGGGTCATCTTCTCAGTATAACCAGATCATTGTTGTTTCACAAGAATGTTCCTAAAAACTATTGGGGGGAAGCCATTCTAACTGCTACCTATCTCAGCAATCGAGTTCCATCAAAAGTTCTAAGCTTGAAATCACCAATCGACACCTTGAGAAGTTTCTTTCCTAACTTCTATGTCTCTGAGAACGTAACACCAAGAGTATTTGGTTGTGTTGCCTATGTCCATATCCATTCAAATAATAGAGGAAAGTTAGACCCACGTGCAACCAAGTCTGTTTTTATTGGCTACTCATCAACACAAAAGTGTTATCACCCACAACTAGAAAATTCTTTGTCTCAGCCGATGTCACTTTTGTAGAGTCTGAGTCTTTCTTTAGCACCTCCTATCTTCAGGGGGAGACTAAGAATGAAGATAGTCCCAAAGATGTGTTCATTTTAGATATTGCCGAGTCATCTAAAAATGAAGTGACAGTTGAGTCTCCAGGTCCCATTGAACCTTCCGTTGAGACTCCAGATCCCACAGAGTCTCCAGATCATCAGAATGAAGAGAGAACTCAAAGTGACATTCAACCACCTCTTCAGGTTTACTCCAGAAGAAAAGAGCGAGTACATCCACCAGCTCAAGCCCAATCATCGAATCTGGCTCCTGTTCCAAGTTCAGAATATGTTCCAGAATCTTTGAACAATCAAGAACAACCCTCAGACCAAGTAGATGACCTAAACCTACCCATTGCCCTTAGAAAAGGAACCAGAAATTGTACAAAACATCCCTTGTCACTCATGACCTATCAAAATCTCTCACCGAGCCATAAAGCCTTCCTTAGTAACCTTCACTCAATACCTATTCCAAAAAACTTGTCAGAAGCATTAGCAGACAAGAAATGGAAGGATGCCATGAGAGTTGAAATGGAGGCACTAGAGCAAAATAGAACATGGGAGTTGGTTGAGTTACCGAAAGGGAAAAAATTAGTAGGTTGTCGCTGGGTGTTCACAGTGAAGTACAATTCTGATGGATCCATGGAGAGATACAAAGCAAGATTAGTTGCCAAAGGGTATACACAAACCTATGGCACAGACTATCTTGAATCATTTGCTCCGGTGGCAAAGATGAACACGGTAAGAATCTTACTCTCACTAGCTGCCATTTTTGGATGGACTTTGCAGCAATTCGATGTGAAGAATGCTTTTCTCCATGGAGAATTGGAGGAGGAGATATATATGGAGGTCCCGTCGGGATTTGAGTCTAAGGCAAGAAAGGTATGCAGGCTTAAAAAGGATCTCTATGGACTCAAACAATCGCCACGAGCGTGGTTTGGAAGATTTGCAAAGGTAATGATCACACTAGGGTATATGCAGAGTCAAGGGGATCATACTTTGTTTGTGAGACATTCAGGAAATGGAAAAACAACGGCCCTACTGGTATATGTAGATGATATCATAGTCATCGGAGATGATGAAGATGGTATACAATATCTAAAAGAATGTCTGCTTAAAGAGTTTGACATCAAGGAACTTAGGAAGTTAAAATACTTCCTAGGAATTGAGGTAGCCCATTCTAAACAAGGCATATTTGTTTCACAACAAAAATATGTCTATGATTTGCTAAAGGTGACCGGAAAATTGGGGTGTAAACCAGCAGCTACACCTATTGAGTACAATCACAGGCTAACTGAAGCATCAGAAGATCTATCCGTGGATAGAGGGTCATATCAACGACTTGTTGAAAGGTTAATTTACCTATCCCACACTAGACCTGATATAGGCTATGCCGTGAGCGTGGTGAGCCAGTTTATGCACAATCCGAAGGAAGTCCACCTAAGAGCAGCACATAGAATACTAGAGTATCTGAAAGGGACGCCTGGAAGAGGACTTTTATTCAAAAGGGGTGACACCTTGACTATAGAAGCTTATACAGATGCGGACTACGCTGGGTCGCTAGTCGACAGGAAGTCAACCTTAGGGTATTGCACTTTCTTGGGGGGTAATCTGGTGACATGGAGAAGTAAAAAACAGAATGTTGTAGCAAGGTCAAGTGCTGAATCAGAGTTCAGAGCTATGGCATTGGGTGTTTGTGAGCTATTGTGGCTAAAAATAATTCTTGAAGACCTGAAAGTAAAGTGGGAGGCACCTATGAAACTATATTGTGATAAAAAGTCAGCAATTAGTATAGCCCATAACCAAGTGCAGCATGATCGGACGAAGCACATTGAAGTTGATCGACACTTTGTCAAAGAAAAATTAGATAGTGGGTTGATTTGTACTCCATTTGTGTCTTCCAAGGATCAACTAGCGGACATTCTCACAAAAGGACTACAAAGCAGCACTTTTGAAGGACTTGTTACCAAGCTGGGAATGCAAGATATCCATTCACCAGCTTGAGGGGGAGTGTCAGATTAGGAGAATATTTGTTACAGCTGTACAACAGCATTAGGGAAGATATATTTCTGTAAATAGCTGAGATATTTTTTCCATATTTATCATAGGAAGATCAGATCCGATCTGTATCCTTGATTTGTAGAGATATCCCTAGCTAGCTTTATTTGTAATCTCTGTATATAAACCCCTAGTCTGTACATTATGAAGATGAGAAAGACAATATACTTTTTTCTTCTCCTTTTAACATTTACATTTTTCTTGTGCTTTAGGCTGCTAGACAACTACACAACGGTTTGAACTATATTGTTCTTAAAATATGATGTAGCTTAGAAAAGATTGTAGTATCTTTATCATTGGTTTTCATTTACTTTTTATCTATTAGTTAGAAATAAAGTTTTTTCTATCAAATAATAATCATATCTTTTAGCTGGACATAGGGTTCTAACTTGTTTAGAACTCCCTATTTTGTAAATAGGATGATAGGATCTAAGGTAATTTATTAGACAACCTTGAATAATTAAAATCCCTCTCCTTTTTCGGTCTGTCTCTTTCTGTAATTCCTCCCTCCCTCTGTCTCTCTCTCTCAATCTTCTTTTCTTATATTTGTATTCTTTTTCTTGTTTCTCTCTTTGATCTCCTTTCCTTGTCCCTTCCTCATTTATTCACCTTCCCTTTTTCTCTCCACCCTTCTTGGTAATACATCATCGTATAAGTTCATATTTTCAAATAAAAGAAATTCTCAAATGGAATGAGTTGGCCAGAAGACATCTCTTTTTGATTGAGCATTGATATCTAATCAATGACTGTTAATTTTCTTGAAAACTTTCAGATACTCCAGAAGTAGATAATCAATCAAGAGGAAATGGAGGAAGAAATCAGATCTCAATCCTGGGTGCATTAGACGAAGACTTTATTTCTGACACAGTTGGAGTTATCTGTGTCGATACAGAAGGACATATAGCTTGTGGGTCCTCAAGTGGTGGTATAGCTTTGAAGGTGATATTCTGAAAATGCTCTTACATTTTAAATTATACATGTGAGCATTTCATGCTCTTGTCCCAAACCATCTTTTGATTAGGGTGGTCAACTCTCTGTCTGTGTGGCTTGGTGGAGGGTGTGTAGGATCTTATGATTGATCTTGCTGTATCGGCAGTAGTTTCTACATTTGGGGACAGTGTGTCAGAATTTGTTTTACTTTTTGCAAAAGGGAGAAGTGTTAATACTGTCACTATGCAGTTGAAAGGTTGTAATTGAATACAATGATGGTTCTGGAATAGAATGGTTAGGTTAAAAATTGTATTGGCCCGTGTAATAGATAAATTTACTCACGAAGTATTTGTCTCAGCAAGATGAATATTTTCAATATATCTGGGGCAACTTCTTTCTTTCTCCTTGTCCATCTCATTCCGCCTCTCTGTAGCTTTTATATGAGCTGCTGGAACTCTTTTATAATTTAGCAAGGGCAAAACATTCATATAGGACTTGAGTAGTGTGTGCAGGAACAGCCGTTTGTTCCTCAAGTCTCAAGATCCTTTGGACCTTTGCTGTTTATCTGTCTTTTCTCCTCTTCAAGGGGGTGTATCTCTATAGCAACAGATGGTGATGGCGGGCACAGAATGCTTCTTGTATTTGCAAGCCGGCCATGGGATTTACTAGTTGGATAGTTGAAAAACATTGTGTAGCTCAGTGTTTTGGTGGTTTTGAATATCTTATCTTATGATTTAACTCGAATAATTCATTCCCGTCATGCTTTACCTTTTGAATGCTTGGAAGTGATTGTCATCTTACTACTTTCCACTCCTCTGTAATTCCTGAGTTCCTTTATTTCTTGACTTTTTACTTTGCTTCTGATTAACTGATTTGGAAGGCTTATTAGGGAAGTATTTTTTTTAGGCAACCACCATGCTTGCAAAAGTGTCTTAACATTGTAGTATATTTTCAAACAGCTAACAGGAATATCTCCGTCTTCTTTGACCGTTGGATCTTATTTTCTTCAGTTTTTATTACCAAAGTTTTCATTTAATTCAAGCTTTTTTGTATGTACAAGGCCAGTAGCCCATTTTGTCTCCTACTCTGAAAATCTGTGGCAGATAAATTCATTGGATTACTGTTCTTACTTCCCTGGAGCTTATAACAGGTTGGTGGACGTGTGGGTCTAGCGGCAATGTATGGTTCTGGTTGTTGGGCGTCTTCAAAGGGACCTTTCGGCGCTCCTTTTATAGTTGGATGTTGTGTCAGTGGTTCTGGAGAGCACCTAATGAGAGGATTTGCTGCTCGGGAATGCTGTGTTTCGTCAGCACTGTGTGTTTGACACTGCTACTTCTGTTTTTCTCTATCTATTTCCCCTACTGAGAGCGATCGAGCAATAAGTTTGAGTTATGTTTTTTCCAGAAACCATTAAAGAATTATTAACCTGAAATCCGATCTGATTTATTGCGCAGGTCTCAAGCTGGGCCATCTTCTGCCTGTAAGAAAGTTTTACAGTCTGCTGTTCGGGAGAATAGTCAGTGTGGCACTGAAAGTAGTGCTGGCTTCCTGCTAGTTCAAGCAGAATCTCCTAGAATGGTAACACCATTCTCAAGATATTGTTATTTTTTTTTTCTGTTCTACCCTTGTTAAATCTAGGAACCTATCATTCCAATACCCTTAGCTATTAATTTTCCATAGATTGCGGGTGGTTTGGCTAGGATGGATGCTGTTGAGATTGCAGCTGTTTATTCATCGTCTTCTTTTGGAATAGGTTATTTTGGCAGCTCAATGGAGAGGCCCAAGGTATATTTTCAATTCTTGTGTATTATATTTGGTGGTACTTATTTACTATTGAAACTAATGGTCAAGAATCAGTAGTTGAACAGTTGTTATTCTCTCTTCTTGTTCTTCTTCTTATTCTTCTTTGTTCAACTATAGCGAAATAGTTAATTATGGTTTTTGAAGAGTGTGATTACCCTAGATATAGTTTGGTGTTCTTCTTTGTTCATTTATAAAAGTTAGAAGCATGTGTAAAAGACCAAGTGACCAACTAAGAAATTTGTGCCCAAGTTTGGGACAGAAAGTTACAGTCCACAATATAATTAAAAATCTTTGAACAACATATTTCTACTTTTATAAGTCAAGATTTGTCATTGATTCGAGGTAAACTACTTTTTAAAGAGAAAAACAAATAGAAGTTGATACAGAAACCCTGTCTAGTTTCAACACTTCCTGGAGTCATGGTAGCTTTTGCTTTGTCAAAGTGCAGTAGTATCAAGATTAGCAGCTAACATTTGTGCCTGAATCAACATGACAGATAGCCTTATGCGTTCTAAAGAATTGGTACAATTTGTTTAGCAAAGGGGCCATATTCCATGCTTATGACTAACTAAATTCATCTGGTGAAGAGAACCTTTCATTTATATGGATCTCATACGCTTCCAAGCATCATCACTCAGCGAACTTAGAGGAATCTTCAATGGTACATTGGTGTCGTCCTCATTTTGATTAAACCATGTTGTACAGGTTTCAGTGCTTAGGAGTACAAAGAAGCATGGTAAAACTGCAATAGGTGAGTTTGCAGCACGAGTCAGTCTTTCAGCCAAGAAATTGTAGAGTTGCAGCCGTAAAACAGTAAATGGCGATAGGAATGGTAACCTTCCTCTTCAATGGCATCATCATGTGGACTTGCTATCGTATCATCTGAATAGTGAGGACTAAAGTGCATTATCCTTAAAGTTGGGGAATTTATTTTATCTGGAGTTTTTTTGCATAAAATATCGGGGAATTTGATTTGTATACTCCCAAAACCACATTTTAGACAGATAACCAAAGATGTAATTTACTTAAATTGCACCAACTAGCTCCCTGAAATCCATTTATATGGATCTCATACACTTCTAAGCATCATTGAAGCTAGAGGAATCTGTGATTAAAACATGTTAGTTGTAAAGGTTTCAGTGCTCAGGAGTACAAAGCAGCATGGTAAAACAGATAATAATATAATAGTATTATCACCACAAAAGAATAACCTATTATTGATATTAATATTACAAAACCATATTTTGCGAACTGATGTTGTCGTATTATTTAGACTTGTGAACTGTTGTTCTTTTCCTAGGAATTACAATAATATAATAGTATTATCACCAAAAAAGAATAATCTATTATTGATATTAATATTACAAAACCATATTTTACGAACTGACGTTGTCGTATTATTTAGACTTGTGAACTGTTGTTCTTTTCCTAGGAATTACACATACGTAGCATAGCTAATTCACCTCCTTTCCGAATAACTATGATCACCTCCAATCCCAATTATCTTTATATCATATTATAAATACAAACTTCTTTCTAGTCACTTTGTATTCATTCCCCAATTGTCACTCTGTATATAAGGTGGTCGCTAAGTTTGTTGGTCTTTCTTTTAGGCTCAGAATCACAACCAAGCCTCTATTAATTCATCAACTATGATTTAGTTTGTCTCGGAAAATCTCACCCTCATTGCCCTACGGCTGCAACAAGTCTTCCTTAACCTGGTTGCTAGAGTTACGATTAACGGTTTTTTCTTCTGACATGCGCTGGTAGCGGTGCAAAGAGTGTGACTCTGAATGGCATTCTGGGACAGTGGCAGAGCCATATTGTCGGGACAGGGGCTAAATTTGAATCTCTTTTTATTCTGTGAAATTAGGATAGACATTTTTTTTTTAATCTAAGGAGAAATTGTTGAATCCCTTTGATAAGAGAGAAGCTCCTAGTCTAGCAATAAATGTGGCTGGAAAGTTGCTTTAAGTTGCAGCGACACTTTGTAAATTCCTTATACATTGGCGCAACAATAAAAATTGACGTTGTGTGACTGTAAATCTATAGGAATAACATTGAATCTCTTTGACATGAGCAAGGCTTCTAGTCTAGGGAAATGCCGCGGCTCGAAAGTTGCTTTTAAATGTAGGCTTGAATTTCAGGTAAGGCCATTTCTTCAATCCCTTATTTTAGTCTGAAGAGGAGTCTTAGCGCAACGATAAGAATTGTCAGTGACCTGACCAGAAGGTTACGAGTTCAAAATCGGGAAAATAATCACTTATAAAAAGGCAAAAAAAAACATAAGTAGGCATTATCCAAAATTTTGCGCATAGCGGGAGCTTAATATATCGTATTATCTTGTTTATTTAAATCCTGACAGAGTGATAATATCTTAAATGTCATAGGGGAACCCAAAACGTGTCTACTTTAAATTGTTGTATCGGATCTATTCCCTCTAGCCATGACTCAAGATAAACTTCCGTACTTAGTCTATTAAGATTCTTTCAGAAAGATGATTCTTATTCTTAACAAATGCTGTGGTTCATTTGGCAATATTTAAAGCAAGAAAGAACGAAATATGAATATTCTTTCACAGTTTAAGCATTATAGATAACGACCTGATGAATTTTAGAAATAAAAGTTTCTCTTTACTTCCTTAGTACCTTTCTTTTTTGTAAAATAAAATAGAAATGAACAAGATTTTTTTAGGAAACGTTTCTGAACTCGTAGTCCAATGAAGAGGAAATAAAATTATATAGATGGGATTAAAATCTAATTCTCCATATATAGCAAAAGCAAAATAATTTTCATTTATTAAAAAATTAAATATATAAGCTTAAAGAGCGAAGCTTGCTAACGTCTCAAGAAAGTATTCCCTCGTTGCCTAACCTATAACTAGAAAATACTACCTTTTCGAACTGACCCTACTAATAAACATCGAACTGACCCTACTAATAAACATTCCAATCAACTTATATACTAATAGAAAAAAGTTAGAAAATTAATGGGTCTTGAAAACTAAAACTTAAAAATTTGAAAAATAAAAACCCTACCAAACTTTCGAGAAGAGGAAAACATATTTAGGAAACAAAAGAAATGGAAGAAAAAGCAACCCATTTATTAGTAGGAATGGGATTTCCATCAGCTCATCAGCTTGATCTATAAATACTTACTAAAACCCTATTAGCAAATTAAAAACAACTCATCACTATCACCATTTTAGGGTTTAACAACTATAGTTCTTCATCACAGAACAACTAAAGTTTTCAGCTACGTACAATTTTGCTTCCGTTCTTTCAGCTATTGCTTCTTTTTCTGTTTCATCATATCCATCATCCGTCAATATTTGATTAGCAGTGCAATGGCAGAAAACTCTTTTTCTCATCGTTCGATGGGTAATCGGTTTCACCCGACGGAAAGAGAAGTGTTGAAGTATCTTGTAGGGTCAATGGCGGCTCCATAAAGTTTGTGGCCTAAAGCGAAATTTAATATGAGACCTTATACTTTTTTATTAGTATATATACACACATATACAAAAAAAAAAAAAAAAGATAGTGTTGCCATTTTTTTTTAAACTTGTTATTTATAGTATAATATACTTAAATGATGAAACCTTTAACTTCACATAGTAGTATTATCATTTATATTAGTAAGTGGTAACTTAAATAAATTGGATGTAAGACATGTATTTTCAATATGTTACCTTTGATTTTGTTGTAAAAATAAATTTACTAATATTAAGATCTAAGAAATTTAATTCAAAGTTTTAAAATATTTTTAGTGTTAAAGAGTAGATAGTCTTTATTTCATTATTTCTTTTGTCCAAGGTTTATTGTATTTTTTTTTTTCAAACTTTAATATTGTCTAACTTGAAATAAAATCATAAAATCCATTATCAAAAATTTTTTGGGGATCTAAATTAAAGTTTTACTAGTCTCCTAATCGAGCCACATGTCCATCCCCTGCTATTCTCAATCAAATTTTATAGAGTCTCAATTAAGATAAGACAACAATCAGTGAATGTATTATTTAGTTACCAAATGTGAATGAAGCTGTTGAATAACACGTTCATAGGCAGTGGTCTATAAATAATTGTTGATCATTAATGAGAGCGGCTCAACGGAACTAGTGGCTTAAAACTAAAATATATTAAAAGACCCTGAAATTTCTTTCATAATATCCATATAATATTGAGACAAAAAAAGTGGTGAGAGAACAACGTATATGTGGGTTAGGCGTAAGTCATATGGTATTGAATTCCCTATAAAAAAGATATAGCGTTTAATGAAAATGGTAAAAGGATTGAGCCTATTATCGATCGTATTTTAACCTTACGATAATTGTCTCTGGGATTTCTTAGTTAAAAAAATGAGATACAAAAGATTTTGAATACAGATATGAGGATCTATCAAATGTGACAAAAAGGAATAGCTAATTTAGATAATTTAATTTTAAATTAGAAAGTAAAATAGTAAAAAATATGAAAAAAGAAAGAAAGAAAAATAGAATTGATGAGAAGATAAATATATTATTTAATTTAGTGAGAGAAAAGTTTTATGCTATTAACTCATTCAATCCTACATCTATCAAATTTAAATAAATATTAGAATTTAAAATATTTTATCAATAATTGTATAAATATAAATTACATATATTATATAATGATATAGTAGTACTTTATATTTTTGGGGCCTTAAATATTGGGAAACTTACACAAATGTCCCAAATAAATCTCAACTTACCAACCTCTAGCCATTAGTCATAGACTTACCAAAACTAGCCAACAAAAATTGAAAAACCAAATAATAGGGTTCTTTCTCTCAAAGAATCACATGCAAAAATCACCTTCCATATTTTTAAGCGTGATTAGCAACATTAGACACAAGACGGAAAGGAAATTTCATGGACGGGGTAGCAAATAAGGTGATGAAATACAAAAATCTATACAATATTCCAAAAATCTAAACAAAAAAGGAACTTTTTCGATGGGTATAGTTGAAATTCATTGAAAATATATAAATAAGTCAATATACAAAATTTGAGGAAGATTGGAGGTGATTTGGACTGGTTTTGTATCAAAATTCGTAATTAAATCGAGTTCAAAAAAGTCTTCTGCGACACATGTATCAAACATGTATCACGCATGTATCACACACACAGGTATACATGGATATACATGTCATACACAATTGATACAAATATGATACATATGTGATACACAAATGATACACAGTGTGATACAAATATCATTTTTTTTTCATGTTCAGCTTTTACCTCGAATTTTCAATTCAAACCACCTCAAAACTTCACCAAATCATCCCAAAACTGAGATTCAAGCTCCTTAAGTTGTGCCCAATCTATTATAATAACACCCACTCAAAACAAAGCAAAAATTTAATATTTTTTTGCTACAAATAGCTAATTGGCTAATTTGGCTAATATTAGTAATATTTTATCAATTGACCAATTTTTATAATGAGCTACTTATAAATGGACATAGCTGGTAATTTCCCTTAAATATTTGGGGGCCTAAGGCAACAGTTCACTTGCCTTATCCAAGAGCCACCCTTGTGTAGGGTTTGTAAGAGACGAGCCGCTTCCCGCACAGAATGAAGTGATGCGCAGATTTTTTAAGCTTATGATCATGGGAACAACAACAACACTCGTTAATTCATAACTTCGCAAAAGAAAGAGAAACCTACATGGAAAGGAGTTTCAAGAACTGTTGGGAAGGGCACTTGGAAGCCTCAAAACAAAGGCCGAGAGGTGTTTGATGATAAAGGAAGACTCATGGGATACGTGGAAAGTTTGAAGTACATCCCCGCTAACAAATCGTCAAACAATGTGAATGGAAAATGGTTGATGACTGAGTACTCTTTGTTTGATCGTTATCTGGCTGCTAGGGAGATTAAGAACAAAGGTTTCGTAATTTGTAAGATCAAGAAGAAGGGCAGACCCGGTGACAAGAAAAAAGGAAACAATATTGATGAGGTAGTTAATGATGAGAATATGAGAGATATTGAAGAATTTATCAACACCGTCTTGAAAGAAGATGTTCAAGTTGAAGACAATGGTATAAGGTCGAATGGTATAGCAAAGGATGATCAAGAGAATAATAT